CCCACCAATCTCCATACCAGGAGATGATCGTACAGTGAGGGCAATTATGTCTCTCTGTTAGAAGGTGCGTCCCATCGCCACCATTTGGACTTGTCTCCTGCATTCACGTGTACCCTTTGGTATAGTGCAACATCATCTTTAATCTCCCATAGAATTGAGATTGTCCAGGGAGAGTTTGACCTCTCTGAGTACCCTGCGGGACTACAACGTGCTGCTTTAGCAAGTCCGATAATTGGCTCTCATCGTGTTCTCACCCTGAGACACTATCGGCCACTTGGAATCTTTTGACTAAGTCTTTGACTGACACAAACTGGCAGCTCACCAAGAGAGAAGAATGTAAAAAGTTTTTGTATTCTGACCAATTGCTCTTTGGGAATTAACACAGAATATGTCGCCATTATGTTTGTATTCAAAAGCGTATTATTGTTCTCACATGAAAAACGAGACCATCGTTTCTCGGGACGTATGTGTAGCGTACGTCATAATTCCAAAACAGTGCTTGTCAACCTTTGCCAGCCCATTTTGCCACCTTGACGAGGTTAACATTTTAAACTGCTCTCCTACGTGTAGTTGTACATGTATATTATGGTATCTAAGCGGGCACTAAGTAATATCTGTCACTACTTGGGTGATCCTCACCACCCACCAAAAAAATGTTACCAAATCGCCTGGGTTTGCAAGTGCTATTCTAAGGAGGCAAATCCTTTCTGGCCTGTGGAATCAAAATCGAGATTCTTTCGCCAGTTTAGACTTCTGAATGGTGTCGTAATTCTTCTGTCAGTTAACATGTCACAGAAACTTTTGTAGAATAAAATGGTACGTGTTAATTCCATGGGTTAGCAAACAAACCTTGTGTGACTACAATCATTTCATTTGTACCTGTGGCATGATGTATAAATAAAAGATGAACTACAGCTGAAAATGATATTGTTTTCCTCTTTGAATTCATTGTTTTTGTGTATGTATATCAGTAATTCCATCAAATACCTTCTTTCTTTTCGTCCTTCTGTCATTCTCTCTCCTGTCCCTCGGATCTCATTTCCTTCCTCCTTCGTTTAGAATCAAGCCCAAGAAAACAATGTACATTGTGCATGTTATTGTAAGTGTATGAACGGGCAAAATAGCATCACTATTGAAAGAACGCAAAGTGGCATCTGGTTGGAACATTTTGTTTTATTTAACCTAATCCAACATGGATACTTTGCTTTCCGCTTGTAAGTACAAGTAAAAAAATATAAAAAATAAATGAAGGTGTTATGTCCCCATCGACACAATTTAAATCATTTAGGAGGCAGCCTTCGATCCTGTCTGATAGGATCAACCCTGGATGAGAGGAATACAGGGTCCCGGCAGAAAGACCGAGGTACAATGTACTCGATAGAAATTCTCTATACACTGGAATCGAAAATAGGGTTTCTGCGTTCGAGGGTAAAGTGCTTTTATCCGATATGCCACAAACGCTGGTATCAGTGGATGATACTTTTGGGATGACTTAGCATGAACAGCTCTAAGTAGAGAGTATGTTTTTTGAGATGCCGTTTTGTGAACGGTGAACTCTGAGAGTTTTCTTACCCCTTGGATTCAGAGCTCAAAGAAACCGACAGCTGCGCCAGAAAATAGTCTTGGGTTTAACTGAGTCATTTTTTTTTTACCTGTAGTATCGCATTTTGATTATCAGGTGTTAGTCCAGTTCTACAGAATTTGCCTCATTTCAGCATCACTGAACAATTTTATTTACTACACAACTTTGTGGCGCACTTCG